AGCTTCTTTATTTTCTCCTTCGAGCTAACTAGCTAGTGGATGGTTTGCGTTTACATAGGTACTGGAAAATGAAAATGCTCAAGCCATAAAGAAATGTAATTATAAAAGAAAATAAGACAGTATGGAAATTTGAAACGCTCGCCTCTTTTTTTTCGTTCGTCCCCAACTACCGAGAACTATTCGCTCTCAAGCGTGAAAGTTTCGGTTAAAAGCCACCGTCAAAGTGGTCGATAGATCGAATTATACACCCACCCTTGTTGTATACCAACTAGCCTTGAATTTAATTTGGGAGTACTTGTTAGACTCCAAACACGAAAGATCATCGATAGCGATCATCGATATCGCTTTGGTAGCCTTTCGTAACGACCCATCGACTTATGACAGGGACCGTCGATGCTCTGATTGGCCACGAACACTATCCGAGGATTATGCGTGTATGAACGCAATTTGATTAGCTACGAAAACTATTCGAAGAATTTGGTTACACGGATGGGTTTCGATTAGGGATACGGACGGACTTACTTACAAAGGTGATAACATTAGTAGCTACGCCTCTTCGAGGACGGTCGAAGCTTTGAATTTGAAGCTTTCAAAAACCGTACCCAATTGAAGACTAGAGCCCAAAAACCATACCCTATTTATGACCAAGATGGCCAAAATCGATACCCTATTTATTACCAAAACGGCTAAACACCATACCCTTTGGGGCCGCACATACCTATATAGTGCATATAACAGAGTACCACCCTCCCCCCTCCGGGTGTATTTGTCAGTCATGCCAGCTTAGTCCTGAGAACGAGGTTGTACTTGGCGTTCAGTTCATGAGCTTCGTGATGATATGTCCGTCAAGATGAATGTCACAGAATTATGTGAACCTTGAATTGAAAGATAAAGATCCTAGTTTCGTTTATAAATTATGTTTTACCTCTAGGTCACGGCGCTGAGTCGCCACGATCAGACATCGCTCTCATTTATTAGCCAATCAGAATGAGGGGATTCATAACAATAATATAACAAAATACCAGTATATCAAGGACCATCGTAATGTCGACACAATGTCACACAAAACGACAGTTAGTGATGAAGGCCGGCAATCATCAACCTGATGGTATAGTAACCTCTCAGATCTAAGATTAAATCCATTTAAAGAAGAGAATCGTGGTTGTCGCTTCTAAAGTTTGAGTTGTAAATGTTTATGTCTCTTCAGAACCAATTTTCCAAATGAAACACAAGGACTGCCTGAATATCACTCGGATATTCCCCAGTTTTAGCTGGGGCATACTTTGACTATTTATGCGCGTCACGCGTTTAGTTGCGTTTAGACTAATCGCGTTCGAGCGAAAATTTTGGATGAATTTTAAATAAACAATAGCCTCCATTTGGCTAACTTTCTTAGCAAGAGGGTAGGGGTAGGCGGAAATTAAAGAGAAAGGCCTGAAACAACCGTTTTAATTGGCTTACGTCGAACATCCAAAATCTGGATGTTACGCTGATTGGATAATACACAATGCAACATAACGTCGCACTACCGGAAGTGAAAGCATTTCGATTGGTGGTAAATTCTTTTCTGTCGGGATATTCATCAGGCTTGTTATTTCGTCGTCGAGCTCAGAGTATTAGTCAGAAAACAGAGCTCTCTTTGTTGAAAGTCTTCGCTGTGCACCTTCAGCTTCATTTTCACAAGTGCTCTTTTTTGCCGCTTCGCCTTTGGCGTCACTCCAGTTAGAGATCTTTAGCCTCGAACAGGAATTGAACCCCTAGGACTGGCTCTCGAAGGAGTTCGTGGAGTGCTTTCCTTCGCCTCGTCGAGTGCCCTACCACCCGCCAATGCCTACCGTAACTCCGTGCATTTTTTACAGACAGACCTTTTGCCGTCTTCACTGTCTTGAATGACAACAATTCTTAACTCGAGAAATAATTCCACAAGAATGACAGGTTTTTCACACAAAACATTAGGAAACTCTTTGTTCGAAGTTTCAGAAAACAGCGGTACAGTGGCGACACACTTTCCATACTCTGTGTGAAAATTTTCGAGGCAAATTGTGCAAATATTCTCGGAAACCATTACAAACATGGACGAATCGAAACTGGCTTACCACGATTATCGGTTGAGTAAGGCGCGACGAAAGTTTGGTCACCAAGTTTTAACGTAAAAATCATGTTGTTGCCACGAACAACTGGCTCTGTATCCATTGACAACTTCTCGACCTTTAACGTCATTTGGCAGCAAAGCGCGCGAAATTGTAAGCGACGCGACAGGCGACCAACGGCTGTTGATATTGTTACCAACGGAAACGAGGCAAGTTTCCCGTGACAACATATAATTTTAAGGCCAAAACTTCGTAACCAAACCTCCCTCGTGCCTTACTCAACTGATAATCGTAGTATTTGCTCAAATTCTCGCCGTTGCAATCGTGATCTGTGATGCATGCAAAGTCAACATGACAGCCGGAAATGATTCTGATTGGTTAATACGTACACTGACGCTTGTCACGCTGTGAGGAGCGGGAAGACTGCAAAAAGATCCTTGCGTCAGGCTTTTCTTTGCCAGGTGTTTCCTCCTCCCCCTACCCAGCGAGTTAGAAAAGCCTAATACTCAGGCTACCATTTGGCGCGAAAGTATGCTCGGATATTTGTCCGTGGACATTATCTGTTCCGCTCTCGGAAAATTGTTAGCTTTGAGGAACACATGATGTCCAGGACAACTATCCGAGCACATTTTCGCGCTAAACGGAGACTATTGTGTTTATTATTCTTTAAATATTTTCGCAGTACGCACAGTTTTGAAAATTGGGATATATCACTCGGGGAGTGATATTCCCCAGATTTAGCTGGAGCCGGCGTAAGGTGCTTAAACCAATCGCCTGCGAGCGAAAATGTTTGATGGATTACAGGTCCCCTTATTTGCCTGCGAATAAAATTATTCCCCCCAAAAAAACAAAAATAATGGAAAACTCAATCGTTTTAACAAACTAGAAAGGCCTCATAAGATAATCATTTTGACGGCCGACATCACCCAAACAGAGAAGAAAACACTAAGGTCTAATCAGCTTCAAAACAAAATACTAATATTTGCCCTGGGACATCTTGAACCTTGCAGTCTTCGCCTAGCTTCGCTCTGGATAAGCTGTTCGTTTCTCAGAATACATAATATCCGTTGCATGGCATATTTATTTTCACACCGAGAGGAGGTAAGTGTGTGATATTTACCCCGAGGTTTGACTGTGTCGTGCATTCAGACCAATCGTGATGGAGACACGGCGCTAATAGATCCTAAAAGGATCATAAAACACGATATATCAAGACCTGAAATTTCCATATGTACTTGAAATCAAATCAAAGGAGAGTTTAGATTGCCATAGCTTCATGGTAGAAACTAAAGTAAATTAAAAGAAAAGAAAAAATGCATGATAAATTTTTGAAGACTCGGGAATTAAAACAGATAACCGGACTGAAAGAAATAACCTCCAGTAGAAAAAAAAGTCCAGATGATCACGCAGAGCACACTTTTATTCAAAAACTTAGTGTACGCCTGCAAGGCAGACATTTATGTAACACATCATGTACTTATTAAATCAATTACTTTTACACATCTACGCAACTTTACATCACTCATGATATTACGCGTGTGATGGTACGTTTGCAGACATAAAAAGATATTGATCTTTAAGTCTATCTATCGATCTATTCATTCATTCATTCATTCATTTATTCATTCATTTATTCAGTCATTCAATCAATCAGTCAATCATTTGTTCATTCATTCATTCATTCGTTCGTTCGTTCGTTCGTTCGTTCGTTCGTTCGTTCGTTCGTTCGTTCGTTCGTTCGTTCGTTCGTTTGTTCGTTTGTTCGTTTGTTCGTTCAATCAATCAATCGATCAATCATTCATTAATTCATTCTTTTACTCGTCCATTCGTTGTCATGCGGAAAACTAGTCCAGTCCCTGAACTCTCCTTTCTTCCCGTCCCATATAGGGACTGAACCGGGCGGTTAAAAAATAGAGTCGGTTATTGCTGGTTTTCAGTGTCACGCAATTCAAAATAGATCAAGACAAAAATCAAAACCGGTCAGTAGATAAAGTCCAGAATCTGGGAAATGAAAGAAGGGAAATATACAAGGACTCTCGCCAAAATTCTGGTCACAGCAATTTTTCTTATGCGAAATATGCGGAGAAATTTTTACCCAAATTTATAGAGATTTGTATGGAGACGCCATGTTGGTGCCCCTCCGTATGGGCACCAACATGGCGGCCGGAAACCAACAAAAACATCTGTCAATGAGTTTTGCTACAAAAGTGTGAATTTATCCCTCGAGGAACTCTAAAGCATTGAAATAATACTTTTTCTAAGACATGAACTGTAGCGTAGTGTATCACAAAACCAAGAACCCATTCGGAGCGAAATTTGTGTGCATATTAGTTTTCAGCTGCTCTTATACATCATTTAAGTAAAATCTCAGGAAGATCAATAGTTTTGTAGTTCGAATTTTAGTGACGTCACGTGAAAACCAGCTATAAAATGGAGTCTCCCTTTTCGCCCGCCCGGGTTCAGCTCCTATATGAGGTGGGAAGAAAGGAGAGTTCAGGGACTGGACTAGCCGAAAACTAATCTAAACTAAATTGCTTTTCACGTGTAAAGTACTGCAAACTAAGCTTATGTCATCTCTTATTTGCCCCAAAAATTTCCGCGCAGGCATTTGGGATAACCGCCAAATCCATAACAATGGAAGGAATGAAAAAATGGCGTGAGACAGTAAGTGCTGAAAAACCTTTTTTCGCAGCACTTATCGTGCTCGTAACACCCTCGGTGAAAACAGCAATCCCCACAGACAAAGGACCAACACGAACATCCTTTACCACACATGCCCTGACAATTGTCATTACCGGGATCACTTGCCAAACTGCATCGCCTCTTTCTTTTGCCGTGCTGATCAGTGGTTTCATCATCTGAATCATGCGCAGCTCCCAGTTCTGCTGGACTCTGAATGTCCGAAGTCTTCAGGAGATTGAACCAAAGGACACGAAATCGCTGTAGAATTTCCCAGTTGGTGGAGTTGTCACTTAGTGCTACTGACACCAGTTCCAAAAGATGAATCTCTGGAACATAGTGCAGCTCGCTGACGACTTCTTGATAATGGAACTTCAGCAACTCGAGTTCTTGGGGTGTTTCTTCATCGTTTTGCTTCATCGCTAGAAACTCGCGCAGCACCTGCGGTACTTTTGGAATGTTATCGGGCACATAAATCAGCGATGGTCCGTGCCTGCAACATATTATTATGAAAACATTTCAATCTGTGAAATCTTACACAGCGGTGGCTGTTTTTAATACGGATTTTTTACCACGATTTCACCGGAAATTTTCTTTAAGCCCCCTGGGGGCTTCAGTTTATGTCAAGCACTTTCGGAGCTGGCGGGGTGGGGGAGTACGGCACTATAATCAATGAAGGGCCTTATTCGATTCTGTTTTGGTGCAAATATAGGTAATATCTCCCAAAAGCTCGCTTTACTTCTATATGTATGTGAATTTGCGTCTAACTGGTAGAGCGAAAATCGTCGATAGTACCAAGTGTCTTTTGTTGTATTAGCTGTAAACGAACAGGAGGGAGAGGGAGGGTATTTATTTGAGAGAGGGGGTTCAATACATTTCCCAGTCCAAACAAAGAATTTACGGTATAAAACAAAGAAATATTGTCCGGCAGGGAGTCTCATTTTAAATTCTCTCAAAAGTGGCTGTTAATGACTTTGCCTGTATGCAAGTGAACATACGAAATCTACACATATAATATTTGACTTTACAGTTCGTTTGGCCACTTTACCTTCATAGGCTAAAAATATCCTAGCGAGGTCAATTGGAGGTAAACAGTATTGTTATACCTCCCAACTCAAATACGTTTTCCGATTGGAGGAGAACGTGTCACGTGTCGTGGATCAAAACTCACTAACTCCCTAGGGCAAACAAAACTCACCAACTCCCTAGGGAAACAACAACTTGAACTTTCGACTCACACGTGATCAGGTCGTGCTTCTTGAAACCGCGGCAAATTTGTGAGCCAGCCGACATCAAGCAAACGATTTCTTTGCAACTTTTTTTTTTCTATTCTTCAGTTGGAAAGTATAACAAAACACTTAATGACTGGTTCCACGGGAAGCAGTGAGTTTTGTTTTTGTTTTTTTTTTTTTATTAATTGCTACTTACACTGCTAACAATGCAATATTAATGTAGTTACTTACACTACTTACACTACTTATTACTTATTCCACTTACGATACTAACACTTACACTAAACAATACGCATACTCACGACACCTTCATTGTACCATTGAGATTTAGCGAAGCCTCGGGGAACATTGAGGGTCTCAGAGAAACAAAACTCACTGTTTCCCTTGGGGCTAGTCATTAAGTGCTTATTAAACAAATATATATGATAAATGTAATTTACCCGATAAATCCTTGGTCTACAACCTGGTAGTAGAACATGTTTGGACCAAGGTCCATGTAAAACACGATTTTTTCGCCTGCCGTCTTCAGTAATTTCATGGAGCTTTTGCGGACATCAAAGCAAATTCCCAGGGTTTGATTGTAGTTGTAGCAACCTTTGACTTGCTTCTCAGAGTAAGCTGTCAGCCGAAGGCCTTGCGGAACTGAAGCTCTTAAATCCGAGCTTGCCATCACAGAGCATAGAGTTCCTGCGACTAGAAGTAATTTCGAGAGAATGGAACCAGTTGAAAGAGACATCTTAACACAGTTCTTAGGCTGTCTTGACAGTCAGTTCAATTGCAGATGGATCACTTTTATACTGATCTCATCGATCGGTAAGGCTTCCTCATTCCAACAAGTGTGATCGGTTTACGTTCCGCAAAAAGTCGTTTGTATTTTCTTCAGCGTGCGCGTACAAAAACATCATTTACTTGGTTTTTATGCAGCAAGTGATGACACTAGTGTGTGCAATCGTGATTTCCTTGTCTAAAGCGGTAGCGAATGTCAAGTGACTTGTTTTCATCTGGAACACGTTTTCGCCTAGATGGATGGGCAGATAACAGTCTCTTTATGTAAGCTATACAGGTGTGTGTAACACCAAAAGGTATGTTTACCCAAGATAAACACGCAGTCTCTGGATTATTTACAGGCATGCAACTCAAGCAAAGCGAACAACATACCAGATAGCGTAGTTAGCCTGAACATTTCAAGTTCCGAGTCTCCCCGTACTGGTTGTGCATGTCTTAATCTTTCGCAATGTTTATCATTCCTGTTCATTAGCTTTGTGTGCCCGTTTGGTGTTTTATTTTGCCACTTCAGTAAAATATTATTTCGGATGCACCCTTCTATTTAAAGGTAATCAGTTGTACACCATGAAATGACTCAATGATTACTGATATAGTGTTAAAACAACAATTGCGTGAGATGTATTAATCTCTTCCTTGTTTGATTGTCATCTCGCCAGCTGACGGTCTTACAGTCCTCACTAACAAAATTTAGTACACGTAACGGCTGACTAACAGGGCTAAGGTCATATTACTCGGTCAATTTATTTTCGAAAACAGGGCTTTAATTAACTTTGGCGATTACAAGGGTAACTTTTGCATGGCCAACTGACTGGAACTGCGCCACATTGCTTCCTCATTTCATGGAAGTTGATACGAGGTCAATCAGTGTTACGTTTCATGGGAACTGCATCGACTGAGGAGATTTCTGTCATATTTCCTAACAGACATTGTTATTGCTATTTTAAACTTTCTAAGAAAATGACGGCTAATTAGCGTGCGTGCTCATCGCTACAAGGAAGTAACCTGTAATATTGAATTCTAATTAAATCTAGTCCAATTTTTCTAATATCATAATTCCTTTTTTCCCTTTACATAATGCGGAGATATTACTTTTGGAACTTGTTTTGACACTGTTTAAATTAACCAAAGCACAACACAATGGCCGAAATGGTAAAAGCTCTTTAGTACGCTGCTGCAACCTCGTCTAAAAGACCAAGAGTATATAAAAGCATTCATGAGCGTGAACGACTTCCGTAACAAACAAACAAGTAATTGATGCCTTCTATGTTTGTTGTCCAGTTAATGGTTTCACGCAACAAGATGTAGGATCCAACGGGCCCAAATTATTCATACCCCTACAGATATTTTGAAACCTCTTAGCATCTTTTGTAACTTCTTGGCAGAAAGCAGTGGCGGATCTAGGGGAGGGGCC